ATATTATTCGAGACTGGCAGAATGATTGTGTGTCTGAGACGGTTTTTATGGAAGTAGCGGAGCGGAGGTGAGAGTAAATGGTTCGTGCTGAGACTAGCTAGTTGGCATCAGTGCATGGCGAGCGACAAGCCTTTGTGCATCATGGAGATCACCATGATAAATCTGAAACCCAAGTGGTGAGGACAAGGAGGAGGAGAGCGGCTGGCTTTCAGCATTTTCCTTTGCACCCAAACAATTGTTTGGACTCTTATCTTGAGGTGTAGTACCTTGCAAGAAGCCCCTCCTCCCAAGGACATGCTTGCTGGACTTTGAAGTTCTGTTCTATGCAAACGGGTCATAGTTGACAACTGGTTAGGACACACCCGGCAGTGCAATAACAATATACATAAAAGCCTTCCTGGATTTAGGATGACAGTTCTAGATCACCTCTGAAATGCGGTGAGCAGACCGAGGTTCAAACCCTCCCAAAGGCTTGATTTGGATGGTGAGAATTTTTCGTTTCTCTCTTTGTGTGCTCTATACGTGCACTTATCCGAAGGGAAGTCCAAAACCTTGTGGATAAGGCAGGATAAATTACTACAACCTCCTGACTTGGAAAGCATATAACTTGACTGAACTTTTTTTTTTCTGTTGCTTTGGGATACAATTATTTGAGGTGTAACGCATACTTTACACATTCTGTACACACTCAGGTGCATTTCCTCAGTTGTTTGAAGTCAGAGGATATGAGCTCGGAGCATGTCCAATCATGTTGAACTCAAACCACGTGAGCAGGTAAAAGTTGACATTCAGTTTTTCAAAGCCAAATAGTGTCGGAAAAATGCCAGTCAGCATGCAACGGCATGGTGAGGCATGGGACCTTTGGACGGCTTGGAAGTGTTTCAAATGCGTGACAGAGGGAGTTTGAAGCAGTTCCAAGCCGTTTAAAGCTGTTATGAGAGTTCCAAGGCATTCCATGCCGTCTGAAGCTGCCGAGGGCAGATGCAGTTGATTTCCCCACCAACCTTCACCTCCAACATCCCCCGTGCCCATCAGGAGCCAGCAACGGTAGGAGATATGAGCCGCCACTGTTAAATATTGAAATCCTCATTGTGAATGACCATGGACACAAAACTTGGACGAAGCCCGACTGGGGTAAATAATAGGTACATTTTAGCCATATGAGTTTGTACATTCTCCGGCACAACTGTCGCTTGGTTCCCGGTGGACGTGGTGCGATAGGGGTGCACTGGGAGAGGAGGTGTTGCCGTTGGAACTGGTGGAGACACGTGGTGTGCCATCTCATCGCATTCCGGGATGGTCACCACCAGCAAGCTGCGTAGGATGGGTGTCTCGGGAATGCTGTCATCATACAGGCGGCGAGGATATTTCAGGAGAGGCGTGGATGAGGGGGATTCTGTGGGTCTGCTTCGCTCTTAAACAAGAGGTCAGCATGTTGTTACAAAAATATAATTCTAAACGCACTGTGACCCGCCAAAATGTCAGCAACAGCCTCTGGGTTGGCTAAACAGCAAGTAACCCGGCGAGAACCCCAACCAAGATAAACCCAATAGATGCTAGTAGCTCATGTGTTCCCCAAGTGGTAGGACCAACCATACAGTGTCCTCTCTAGGAGGCTGTATGTCGTAGGTCGGGATACGAGGCGGAACCTGAAACAAGTCAAAGAGGGTGTGGTATCCACTCAGGTATACAACCTGGGGCATGGATACAAACCATAGTACAATGTGGAGGAAGCAGGGCAGGGTGGAGACAATATCTATGTCAAGGCAAGGTAGAAGCCTGAGATTAGACGAGGTAGAATCTACTGTACATGGAGATTCTACCGAGCTTATATGGGCTTCTAATAAATTAAAGCGATCATGGTCAATCACGATCAGTTCCTGTACTGCAGCATTAAGGAGTGTCAATGCTGATACTCCTGGACTCCTCTGTGTCTGTTTCTGTGGCGTTGGAGGACTTAGGAGACCCGATGTTTGGGTTTCCTAATCCTTAATGTCATTGTATCCAGTGGTTCAAACCCTGATTGGTTTGCAACCAGTCATGTACTTCGTGTATGCTTCTGTATCAGCCGTGGCGAGTCCAGGGACTAGGATCTGTCTGTACAGGTTCCTAGTCCCTAATGTCTCTTCTGTATCCCCTGGCGCAGACTACCCTGAGTCTGCGGCTTTAGAATCCGTGACCGGGTTTTAACTGTGAGAAGGTCACGTGGTGGTGTCATGAGAGTCCTGTGCTGCTAAGACACGTCTGTATCCATATGCACACATTGTGCGAAAAAGTAGAACCTGGGCAATTCTTAACACAAAACATGGAGGTCGTGTTATAATTCGACTGTAGGCCCTCAAATAGGTTGGCCACATATCAAAGTATTTGATATTCAGGAGAGTGGGGCGTGTCCTGGGTGCATCGTGATGAAGTGTCAGCAACGGCCTCTGGGTCGGCTAAACAGCGAGTAACCCGACGAGAACCCCAACTAGGATAAACCCAATAGACACTAGCTGGTATGTTCCCTGAGCAGCAAGACCAACCGTACGGTGTCCTCCCTAGGAGGCCGTATGTCGTAGGTCGGGATGCAAGGCAGAACCCAGAACAAGTCAAAGAGGGTGTGATATCCACTCAGGTATACAACCCGGGTGTGGATACAACCCGTAGTACAATGTGGAGGAAGTGGGGCAGGGTGGAGACAATGCCTATGTCAAGCCAAGGTAGAAGCCTGAGATTAGATGAGGTAGAATCTACTGTATATGGAGATTCTACCATGCTTATATAGGCTTCTAATAAATTAAAGTGATCACGGTCAATCGCGATCAGTTCCTGTACCACAGCATTAAGGAGTGTTGATGCTGATACTCCTGTACTCCTCTGTGTCAGTTTCCATGGCATCAGAGGACCTAGGAGACCTGATGTTCGGGTTTCCTAGTCCTGAATGTCATCGTATCCAGTGGTTCAAACCCCGATCGGTTTGCAACCAGTGATGTACTTTGTGTACACTTCTGTGTCAGCCATTGGTGCGTCCGGGGACTAGGATCTGTCTGTACGGGTTCCTAGTCTCTAACATCTTCTGTATCCCATGGTGCAGACTCCCCGAGTCTGCGGCTTTAGAATCCGAGGCCGAGTTTCAACTGTGAGAAGGTCACGTGGTGGCGTCATGAGAGTCCTGTGCTGCTAAGACGTGTCTGTATCCATACGGACACATCACACGAAAAAGTAGAACCTGGGCGATTCATGACATGAAGGAGAGTCGGGTGGTGATGATGATTGGGCATTGTTGTGCCGGCGAGCTTCCCGCTTGTGTTCAGAGTCGGAAACATGGGTAATATTGGAGGACGTGTGGTGAGTAATAGGCATTGGGAGAGTGGCGAAGGTGCGAAGACAGATGGCAGCATTTCTGCAGTGAGGTGGAGTAAAGTTGTGTCATTACCAACTCAGTGATGTGGAGCGTGTATATCAACTGCCACTTTGTGACACTGTGACTCCAGCTCTCTTCCTTCCCTCCCACCACCATCCTTGACCACCGCTTCCCTCACTTCAAGGTATGTGCTCAAAAATGTGTTCCGATGTTCAGTGATTTAATCCACTTCAAGGTTTTCTCAGCTTCAGTGGCTTTCCAAGTACATGCACAACTCTCACTGATCATACAGTTCTGATGAAGTACCCCCAGACGTCTTCAATGGCAAGGTGTGTTTCTACATACTCTATTCAACCCTCTCGCTGACCTTAACTTGTCTATATAGGCCTTGTACCTAGCTTGGTATGTCATGACCACTTGTCATTCACACTCATATGCGTATTTGCACTATTACTTGGCCATCAGAGGGGATTGTGTCTTGATGGTTTGCTTGATACGGATTTATTGCTGTTCTTCATGTGCCAACTGGGTGTCCAATTTGCAAGGGGATTGGGTCACTGCATTTGCTGGCCAGGTAGGCGAGTTGGAACCTCACAAAAGCAGTCGAAAGGTTCCGAAGCATTCTTGGACCATGGCAGTGCTTGGAACTTGTGCCGTGGCATGGAACTGCATGGTTGACACCGAGCTGTGTGTTCGAAGCCAGCCTGAGGCATGCGACCATGCCACAGCTTCAAATGAGTTCAACACTGATTAAAGCCGACTTGGATTTTTCCGACAAGACTGAGGTTGGGATGTGTACCTTTACTTCCTGCCTTGAGTGTAGGAGTTTTGTGGTATTGTGGAGGACCAAGGTAGCAAACAGCCATCAGCAGAGGAATATTTGAGCCCATAGAGTACACAAGTGGTGATGGTACAAAGGCAAACAGATAAAGTATGGTGACATGTGTACACTACTATATGGAATTTGATGCTATGAGCTCTATAAGCTTGCTCACACAATTACAATTCTCCACATTGAGTAGAGGACTAAGAGGATTTTCAATGGATTGACTGCAATTTTGGCAGGAAAAAGCAGTGTTATAGAGTCACCAACTAAAAATGACTAGTCAATTTTGACAGTCAGTAACTAGCCAGTGACTAGTCATCGGGCCACATGACTGACCTGACTACGATGCCTTACAAATTGCTTACAAACCACTATAGCCGAGCAGCTTTTCCTATATCTGCCACATGGCACGTATTGGATCCATGTGTTCGTCTGCCTTGACATTCAGGTCATGAAGTTGGGTCACTCCAGTGACATGACTGACCTGACTTCTGTGGCCTCGCAACTAGTCGCTGACTAGTCAGTGATGTGCACAACACTGGGAAAAAGAGACAGTGGGCCACAGGTCCTCTGGAGGGCATACCTACTAGTAGTTGCCCGGACACTTTTTCTTCTCCTTGTACGCAAACACAATTATTTAACATACCTATTCCGCAGAGAACAGAGCAGTGAGTCCTTGTGTTGAAATATTAGGATGTTCATGAGGAAGTGGAGGTTCAAATCCTCCCAAGTGGGGGGTGTTGTTGAGAACAAATTATTTTCTTCCCTGTCTGCAAACACAATTTTTCCACTGGGCACACCTACCCTGCACGGAAAATTAGGTTACAAGCCCTCGTGGATCATGGTGGATCACCTCAACAGCTTCATGGGTGTTATCAAAACTCTATTGAGGATGTGGTCTGTCATGTGGAGGTTCGAATCCTCCTGGGGGCATGTACCAGTGGCTGGGATTTTTCTTCCCTGTCCGCAAACACAATAGAGAGCTTGAGCCCAAGCGGCATGCCGCTTTTTAGGTTGTGCAAAAAGCGGCATGCCGCTTTTTTTCCTCTAAAGGGCATTAACAAGGTGCAATAGCATCAGGGTGTGTGAATTTGAGGTGCACACAAAAGTTGTAAAAAAGCGGCATGCTGCTTTTTGCACAACCTAAAAAGCGGCATGCCGCTTGGGCTCAAGCTCTCTAATTGTTCTCCTGCACAGAATAGTGGGCAACAAGCTCTCATGGACCATGGTAGACCACTTCATAGGCTTGGAGCTTTGGCAGCACCATTTCTCGGGGAAGGGCATAAGGACTTGAACAATGATTTTTCCATTGTTTCACCTGCACACAATTATTTGGCTTCACTGCAGAGACTGAGGCTGCGAACATAGAGTAGCAAGCCCTCGTAGATCATGATGGATCACCTCTCAACAGTCCACTTCACATTGAGGAGGAGGTTTGAATCTTCCCGAGGGCATACAATGTTTCGCAATAATTTTTTATTTCTCCTGTTTTTTGCCTTCTACTGTCTGAAACACCATTATTACAGTACACTTATTCCGCCCAGAACAGGTAGCATTAAGCCCTTATAGATCATGATAGATCACCTCATGCCTTTGTGAAAAAAAGAGATTCATTATTATTGAGGAGATGGAGGTTCAAATCATCCAGAGGGCATGCAGTGCTTTGGTAAATGTCTTTTTATTCCATCATTTGCTTTGGGATGCAACTATTTACGTGCATCTATTGATATCCAGCACAGAACAGCATAGCAGGTAGCAAGCCTTCGTGGATCATGGTAGATCACCTCATGCCTTTGTGGTAAAAGAGTGTTATTCCTGAGGAGGTGGAGGTTCAAATCCTCCTGAGGACATGGAATGGATCCGGAGCCTTTGCTTTTTTTTTTCGGCCTTCTACATATACTCAAAACACAATTATTCCACCGGGCACATCTATGTACCCCGCACGGAACAGTGGGTAACAAGCCCTCGCAGATCATGGTTGATCACCTCAACAGCTTCACCCGCCGTTATCGAAACTCTATTGAGGACATGGAGGTTCAAGTCCTCCCGAGGGCATGTACCAGTCAGCTGCATTTTTTTTCCTTCCCTGTCTGCAAAGACAATTGTTCTCCTGCACAGAACAGCCTTGGGTAACAAGCTCTCATTTATGGACCATGGTAGACCACTTCATCAGCTTGGAGCTTTGGCAACACCATTTAAATTTCTCGAGAAGAGCAAGGGCATAAGGACTTGAACAATGATTTTTCCGTTGTTTCACCTGCACACAATTATTTGGCACACCTATCCTTTACTGCAGAGACCGAGGCTGTGAATATAGAGTAGCAAGCCCTCGTAGATCATGGTTGATCGCCTCTCAACAGTCCACTTCGCATTGAGGAGGAGGTTCGAATCCTCCCGAGGGCATACAATGTTTTGTGATAATTTTTTGTTTCCCCTCTTTTTTTGCCTTCTACTTTGTGAACCACCATTATTCCAGTACACTTATCCCACCCAGAACAGGTAGCAGCAAGCCCTCGTAGATCATGATAGATCACCTCATGCCTTCGTGAAAAAAGAAGATTCATGATTATTGAGGAGATGGAGGTTCAAATCATCCGGAGGGCATGCAGTGCTTTGGTAAATGTCTTTTTATTCCGTCGTTTGCGTTGGGATGCAACTATTTGCGTGTATCTATCGGTCGCGATATCCAGCACAGAACAACATAGCAGGTAGCAACTTGAAGCCTTCGTGAATCATGGTAGATCACCTCAAAGCTTTTCCACCGGCAGAGCTTCCTTGCATGAGGAGGTGGAGGTTCGAATCCTCCCGAGGGCATGGAAAAAAAGCCTCGCTTTCTTTTTTGGCCTTCTACGTATACCCAAAACACAATTATTCCACTGGGCACATCTATGTACCCCGCACAGAACAGTGTGTAACAAGCCCTCGTGGATCATGGTCGATCGCCTCAACAGCTTCACCCGCCGTTATCAAAACTTTATCGAGGACGCAGAGGTTCGAATCCTCCCGAGGGTATGTGCTTGTTTGAAGGCTTTTTCCCCCCTTTACTCAAATGTGACTATTCCAGCACACCTATCCGCAGGACAGTAGGTATATGGCAAGCCCTTGTGGATCATGGTAGATCACCTCAAAGCTTTTCTGCACAACACTGGCTTGCACGTGAGGAGGCGGAGGTTCGAATCCTCCCGAGGGCATGCACCAGTCCAGGTGTACTGCCATTTTTTTTTCGTTCCCTGTCCGCGAACATTGGTTCGGACACCTACCCCACCATGTACACAGCAGGTGGAAGCAAGCCCTCGTAGATCGTGGTGGATCGCCTCAACAACTTAACCGTTTGTTGAAATTGAAACCCTACTGAGGAGGCGGAGGTTCGAATCCTCCCGAGGGCATGTAGTATCTGGTCCAATTTTTATTTCGCGCGGGTGAGGATGTAGGTATAGGTAGGTACGGCATGTGGGTGGGATGCACAGCCAGCAGTGGATGTGATTGTCATATGCGGATGGGGTCCCGATCATCTTGATTCGAATCACGGATATCTGTCTATATTTCTATATTCGCCTTCGCACCAGCCGAGAAGCGGGTGTGTACATACATACATATAAACGGTGTGTGGGGTAGGATAGAATAGAATAGAATAGAATGGGGTGCGGGCACAGCATGTGTACTTAACTTACTCTGATACGAGACGGCGTAGGTGGGCCGGGCTCCAAAGTGCAGTGCAGGCACCGTCGGGGTCGGGGCCGTGCGCAATGAGAAGTGAGTATTGGGATTCGAAATTCAAAATTGTGTGTGATGCGCCTCCGTGGGTGGGTAGAGATCTATCTAGCTAATAGGCTGGGCGGTGATGGTGGATCGGATGTAGAACAGCACAGCAAGAAGCGCGGCGGTGCGGGAGAGCGATTTGTACGGTGGATGGACGTGGTGGATCGGGTGCGGAAGCAGTCGCCGGTATAGATGTAGACAAGACGAGGGGAGAAGAGAAGCAGGACAGCCGAAGATTTGAGAGGTAACTGATGTACACATAGCTCGAGCGAACAGGTCAGAACAGGTGAGAGCTGCCAGATGAGAGAAAATGACCGAGAAGAATGTGTAGATTGATTGGAGTGATATAGCAGAAGACAGAACAGAACGCGGGCGCGGATCAGATTTTGCGGATGAACAGAAGGTGCGGATACTGCGGCCAAGAAAAGACACAAGCCCCTAGTGGGTGTGAAGGAACCTTTGGAGGAGGTTTTAAAACCCAACGGAGGCCTGCCCGTGTATCGCCGGTTGTACTGTAGAAGCATTAATAGCGATGCTGCTGCGCTGCAGATGATTGTACCGAAATGGGAGTTACAGAAGATGGAATTGCCGTGATGGGATTGTGTGCTGGCAGGCAATTAGGGTCGCCAAGGGGTAAACCGCCGAGTGTGTAAGCAAGAGTACGAGGTTCGGCCCAGGGAGAGAGGACGCGGACAGAGTGCCGGTTAATTGCCGACAGGTTCTCTTGAAGAGAATAGCTGGGCACTGGGCAGAGCCAAGAGGACGACAACAGCAAGTCAGCCTGCAAACAGCCCGCACAGCCACACGCCGCCTTCACTCCTACACTGTAGTACTATCTAACACCCCGCTAATTCCTCTAATACCTCCATGTCGCTGGCGAAGCGCCCCCCGGCCTCGCTCCAGTCCGACATGGACATGGACGACGCTCTCGACCGCCGGTACAACTACGACAACGACGAGGACATCGACCCCGAGCTGCGTCTGCGCACCGTGCGCACCGCGCACTCCGCCATCGCGGAGAGTATTGTGGCGGATACGCGGCAGACGCGGCGGAGAAGACGGTTCTGGGGCGCACGGAGCGAGAAGACGCGGCATGGGCACCACCCCGAGGAGGCGGACCCCGTCAAGGCCAAGCAGGAGGGCCGCGGCCGCCCGGAGGGCAAGCGGAGGAACGTCTACGTCAATACCCCGCTGCCCCGGGGCGAGCTGGATTCGAGCGGCGACCCGCTGGTGAGGTATCCGCGGAATAAGGTCCGCACGACGAGTGAGTTGCGCAGCTGTTCGTTGGCAGAATATTATTGCTAATCCTCGGTAGAATATACAATCCTCACATTTATACCCCGGAATCTGTGGGAGCAGTTCCGACGCATTGCCAATCTCTTTTTCCTTACCCTCGTCGTGTTGCAGCGTACGTCCATTCTTATCCGCATATCTTCGATGCCACATATACCCGCTCTCTGACCCTGTCGGTGGTATGGGGCTTGGGCTTGCGCTGGCATTGTCTTTGGAGTGCACCTCTGAGCCTCACAGGCTCGCTCGGTCGCCGCATATTTTTCCATCTATCCCTTGTGGATATTCTTGGCGTATTCGGAGTGGACTTTCCGGCGTCACACACGTTGCGGTCGCTACTGTCGCACTTGCACTTGCGATATCTCTTTCCAGTCCTGCCCGTCGTCGCCACGTATCCTCGTGTTGCCCATTAATCCGTTTTTTTCTCACCTCAACTAATACTTTACCAAACTCTAATACTTTACCAAACTAACGCACACTCTTTCCCCCACAGAATTCTCCGTCTTCGGCGCGCCCTCCGGCGTCGTCTCCGCGCTCCCGCTCGCGTTCATCATCGTCGCCTCCGCCATCAAGGACGGCATCGAGGACTACCGCCGCGGGCAGCTCGACGAGGAGGTGAACACGTCCCCGACGACGCGCCTGGCGGTGCGGAACCCGAATATCCCGGAGGGTGCGTCTCTCGCCTGCCTTCGGTTGCCACCTCCCTCCACCCCAATTTCCCGCAAATCAATCTAAATTAAATCGAATTAAATTAAATCAATCAACTAATCTAACACCCGCACAGACCCGCGCTCCCTCTTCGAAAAGCTCCTCGGGCTCAACCGCCCCGGCGCCGTCTCCCGGGGCGTGCGCCGCCTGCGCGCCGCCGAGGCGCGCGCGCCGCCGGGGAGCCAGAGCACGCTGAATGTGGACGATAGCGATGGGCGGAGCATGGACGGGCGGAGCGTCGCGAGCACGGTGCACTCGTATCCGCCCGCGGCGGTGTTGGTGAGTGGTGGGGTTTTGGCTGTTTTGTTTGTTTGTTTGGGGTGGCGCGGGGGGAGTTGTCGCGTCCTTGGGATTGGGTTCGGGTGTTTGTTGGGTGTGAGACGTGCCGGGACCGTTTCGGTCGGCCCTCTCCTAATTCTTTTGGGACGGGCTTCGCACCTCGCTCATCATCCCTTCCTTTCCTCATCTTTTCTCGGTCTTATTACTTATACACTTTGTTTCTTTTCCCAGGACCCGAACTTCCGCGCGGGCGCCGCGCAGTGGGAGCGCACGCTGTGGAAGAAGCTCGAGGTGGGGGACATCGTGCTGTTGCGCGACAACGAGCAGGTGCGCGTCATTCATCCATCCTTTACAATTATTATTTTATTGACGACGGCGCGCCACAGGTCCCCGCGGACATCATCGTGCTCGCGACGTCGGACCCGGACGGGAACTGCTACCTCGAGACGAAGAATCTGGATGGGGAGACGAATTTGAAGGTGCGTCGTGCGTTCCGGTTTTGGGTTCTTTCCGGAGCAGAGGTTGCGTTGCGCTACGAGGGGGGTGGGATGTGTCGGAGCTTGAGGCGGACGGACAGACGGGGATAAAGGGAGGGTGCAGGAGCCCTGCTGGAGATCGCGGCCCAACCCACGCATGGCTCGAGACGGGTTGCGGACGGCGCAGAATTGTGCGTTGCGGGTGCGACTTGGTGGTGTGGCGTGCATCGCAAGGACGAAGACGGAGGCGAGAGAACGCGATGCTCGTGACGCGCGATCGGTGTGGTCCCCCGCGGTGGCGGCACGGTACCGAGACCCGGTGTGTACAGGAGGGGGAGGGCCCGTTCTGGATACGGAGACCCCTATGGGCGGGGCGCGTCCTCTCCCTCCGCTGTGCCGCTCGTCTCCCCTCATTTCTCTTCACCTTTGCGTTGCGTTTGAGCACTGGGATTTAAAGTTGCCGTTCGTGGGGCGTTGTAATTAGACACGCGGGGGTGCAGCAGAGGGAGGAGACTTTGTCGTGGACTGAATGTCGAGTCGGGGAACGAGCGGAGGGGAAGAGCAATGGGGCTCCCGCGCGCGCGCCCGACTCGGAAGACGCGCTGCGGTGGTGTGTGGTGCGGCTTGCGCGCAAGATTGTGTCTTGTGGTGTGGCCCTCCCCGCACCTCGATCGTTTTATGCTCTCGTTTCCTCTATTTTATTCTCTTGGCATTTCCTACTTCCTTCCTTCCGTTTCCTTTTCGCTCGTCCTCGTGCTCCCACTAATGCGTAATTACGCACCCCGCAGCTCCGCAAATCCCTCGTTGCCACCCGGAACATGTCGTCTGCGGAGGAAGAGGTGCAGCGCGCGCGTTTCGTGCTTGACTCGGAGGCGCCGTCGCAGAATCTGTGAGTTGTCGTTTCTTTGCTATTTTACCACGCGTGGAACGGGCACACAATCCTTGATTGTGGCCCATTCTCCCGTAACTTGCATCTACTTGCCACTTGACTTGCTAACCACATCCACAGCTACCTATACCACGGCGTCCTCCGCTACCGCGATTTCTCCTCCGCCTCCGCCTTCTCGAGCGTGCATGCGCGCGCGACCAACAACAACACCAACTATGATGCGGATTTCCACGGACAGGGGGGACGGGGAGGTGAGTCGCGTTGTTCCAAGTTATTTCGACAATCCTTTGTCGTGTTACTTGCCCGTTATATTACTCCCGTCCTCTGCCTTCTTGAGGAGTCAGGGGGGTAACACCATGACGGGGAGAGTAGGGGGAGGGAGCAATCAATCTTCTGTCCTCTCATTTCTCACTGCACACGGAAACCGACATGAGCTGACTGACGAACACGCACAGGTGCCGCGACACCGATGCCCGAAGACCGCGCGGAGCCGGTGAGCATCAACGAGATGCTGCTGCGCGGGTGCGCGTTGAGGAACACGGCGTGGGTGGTGGGGCTGGTGGTGTTCACAGGGGCGGACACGAAGATCATGCTGAATGGTGGAGAGACGCCGAGTAAGCGGAGTAAGGTGGGTGTCTAAGCGCGATTCTCTCCTGCAATCCCGAGTCGGGCCCTGAATTTAAAGCTAACGACACTTTGCAGATCGAGCGTGAGACCAACTTCAACGTCGCGGTCAACTTTGGTGTGCTGTTGGCGATGTGCATCATCGCGGGGATATTCAGCGGACGGG